AAAAAAAAAAAAAAAAAAAGGGTATAAAATGTAACTTACAGAACTTTCACAGAAAGAAGCTAAATAATGATGGAAAAAGTACATATTTTTAAAATGAACCAAACACATTTGATTATAAAAAAATCACAGAAAAGTAAGGAAGAATAATAGACGGAGAAAAATTGATTCTTTGATTCTTTTTTTAATCTAAAAAATAACCCCTTCAAGTGTAACTACGTTTCTTATGAAAAAATAACTGCTTTGAGAAAAAGTCTCAGCAATGGTTTTAGATATAAATTTTTCCTAATGAAAACCTACTGAAAAGCATTAGCATTAAATTTCTGGTAGAAAAGGTCCACCGATGATCAATCCTAATGATCCAGACCATAACACCTTGACACAAACATAATTTTGCATGTTATCCATGTAGTTATGATAAAATCTAATTATTTTTAAAAGATTTAATATTCCATTTTATCTCTGTTATTAATAACATAATAGATCACTAAAGCCAAAGTTTCTAAAAATTTGATTTTCCACAACTTTTTGAGGTTGAGATTTTGGAGTTTTATATATCATTTCAGCTTGTTGGAATGAGAAGATTAAGTAGAGCTTTGATTTCTAGCACCTTCTTTTTCTGGTTGAGGAATTAAATAGCCTGAACTCTAATTGAACTCAATAGGAATGAAATTAAAGCTCAATGAAAAATGAAGCTGTGGTTTCAATGGTCACTGCAAAAATTTACGAAAAGAAATTCCTGTTCAGAACAAAACAAAAACAGCTTAAGCTTTTGGTAAAGCAAAATGTTTAAATTATTCAGGTTCACTGAAATGCACTCTTCTGACATTTTTTTCATGTGGCAAATTTTTTTAAAAAAATAAAATTCATATGAAAAAAGTTATTTCAATCCCTGAAAAAAAACAGAAAATGCTGAAACTAGACATTTCAAATGTTTGCTTTTGAGATTTGAAGTAATACATTTGATAAAATATAAATACTTTCGCATCCAGGAGGAGCTTGTGGCTGCCAACTTCACAAGACAAATTTCTATATCTAAAATATTCTAGAACTTAATTAAGTTAATGTCTTTTCAAAATTCTAAATATCTAGCCTTTAATATCTATCCTTTTAATCAGTCCCATCTTTATTCATACAGGTAAATATGTTCAGGTAAAGATACATATGTATACCATTGGCAAACAAATTTCATACAATGTAACAAATAATTCTGAGAAACGATCAGGAAGCTCTTCTTATAGCAGCAGAATCAGAAATCATTCAACTAATCAGAAGTCCATTCTCCTTTCTAAAAAGAGCTTTAATTAACCTAGCTTATAGGGAAAAAATACCCAATTTTTTGAAAGACTGAGGGGAAAGAAAACGGAAGCAATGCTGCAGTTTCCAGCAGATGCATAAATACAATCCCTTCACACTTTTGACACAGTGGTTTGCCACAACGTGACCTAAAACTACCTTGACCTCCCTGAAATCAACATTTCGCATTGGAATGCTACAACAGACATGGTTGTTTTGATGTATGGCTGTGTGACATATTATAAATATTACATCACATAACCACAGAGGATGTCAATCAATAAAAAATTTTTTTCAGAAAGCACTAAACGAACCATGGGTTCTTGCCTCTGAATGGCTCCTTTAAGGCACTACTTTTGCTTAAACGATTAATAGGAGACATATTATCAGAAAACACACTTAAAAGGAAAAAGAGTAAACTATAGAAACATCATTCCTTTTTTAAGCAATTCCCTAGTGCAAATGTCATATAAATTTACATAGAGACAGCACTATTACACTCCTGTAAGCTGGATAGTAGGCATAACTTCCACTTACAAGTGAAAGCAATGAGAAATTATTTTATTAAATCCAGGCAATCTTAGTCAAAATCAAAATGCTACAGCTATGCTGAATGCAGAAGTTGGATTTTTAGAAGGTGAAAATCTTCGGGCTAATGATAATCTAGAAATCCTTCTCAAAAATCCAGAACAGTGAATACAGTATATTCACGCCCAAGAGAGTTGTGTTGTTGCCAACTCTATGAGCACAATTCATGCTACTTTCCAATAAACCAGCTTTCAGCTCCTCTCCTTTCTACTATGCTTTAAACTAACTCCTACAGAAGGGTTTGGACTAGTTGAAGATGTAATCAGAGTTTTATAATATAACTCTGAATTTCACGGATGACCTGCTAACAAAAAGAAAGGTCAGTCTCTGTAAGGTTGGCAGCATACTGACCAATGCTGCTTGGCTCTGACTTGCCTCACAGAGGCCATTTTCAGTCAATGTGGAAAATGCCAGTAAATGGGGACTGAAATCTAGTATCAGATGTGACTGAGAAAAAGGAGCTCTGATGACATTGTGTAGAATTTTGCTATAATTAATGTCTCACTTGCCTAAAGGTTGCAGCTACAAAACATTATGTCACTTTATCAGACATTCTGTTAAGTCTTGGATCTATACTCGATCACTGATCATCAGGCAAAGCTGTATTTATCCTCTACTCCACCACCCTCTCCCCCGACAAAACACCCTTATATGCATACAACTAAATCTCAGTAACATTTTGATTGAGCAGGTAATATTTTATCAGGCTTCTATACTAATTTCCAGATGATCTTTTGTCTAATCTAGCTCATTAAAATTACATTATAGAAGTATATATGGATTATGTATAGATATATATTACTTCTATTGCTTGATTTGGTTCTAGACCCTTAACTGCTCTGAGTAAAAAAAAGCACAATATATAAAGAAATGCTTTCTTCTGCGTTCCTTAATAGTGTCTTGATAACTATAACGTAAGAAACACATTACCATAATTAATTGTTAGCAAAACACAAAGTAACTCGTTATCTTTTTTATTGACTGTTACCCTTCTTATAAGTCAATGTTGCCTTACTCCGGCCTTAAAGAAGGAAAGGTCATACATGCACACATATGAGCAACCACATTCAGGAAAGCACACGCACATCTGCTCAACTCAAGTTTGTGTGTTGTACATCAGTGAAATATTTATAGAAATACGGTGCCTGAGAGTGATCTCAGTGAAATGTGGTTTTTCAAATTCCTAGGTGTTCATGTGGCACAGTGATTTCAGTATAGAGGGAGTAGAAAATGTTGTTTTGGGACTATGAGTTGGGTTTAGTTTAGTGTTTCTCCAACATTAAAAATGACTTACCTTATTATATCATAAGTGAAGACACTAACCTGTATCTCTGGTAGTCATCTTCATCCTTTTCTGTGCTGACCAATTCATTTGGGCAGGCCATGTTTCCAAGCAAGCTGAGATACTGCAATGAGGGCACCACTTCAGCCAAATGATCCAAAAGGCTTTCTAATTCTGTTATGTGTCAAAGGTTGTGGGTTAAGGATTCAATGACATTAATGAAAAAAGCATTTAGAGTTGCATCACTGCTGATTTAAACATACATTTCAATAACTGACAATCAAATTTAGTATGGCACTCAGGAAAATGTCACATTAATTGTTCCAAGGGCAAACAGGGATAAACTTCAGTCAGTTTTTTGGCATGGAATGAAAGAATTTGGCTGTTTTGTCATTCTTTTCTCTTCCTTTCTTCCCTAGGTGGTTCAGCACAAAACATTAAAACTTTGACAAAATGATGGATGCTGTGTGGTAAAATGGCTAGCAATTGCTGGAGCCATGAAACTTTTCCAGCATGGAAACAAACAGTTAGTTTCACAGCACATTCATCACTAATATATTCAGTCCACTGGAAAATGAGTTTAAAAAAAAAGTCAAACCACAACAACCCACTTTCACTCCTGGAATATAAATGCTTTGAGTGCCACAGCAACACATTCATAATTACTCAATTAGTATACGTGAATAAATGTTTCACTAAGCACAACCTAAAGACTTCAGTGTTACAACACATAAGTATTTTATACATGAGGCTTTAAAGTCCGGTAAAGCATAAAATTTCTCATTATAACAGCCTTATATTTTGGTGTTGATGAAGCTTTCCAACTTAAGTACGTTCCTCAGAAAAAATATATATTAAAACAAAGATTAGAATACCTTTTGAACACTGCAAGACTGGAAATCACAGCTTAGTTTTAAGTATAAGAACTATATTCAACCATTTGAACGCTGTTGATTGAACAAACAAAGCAAATCATGTTGTTAAAGAAAAGTATTACAGTCACTCGGAGAGACTCTTTCTATATATTCTCATTTACTTCAATTTACATGCAAAGGAAAGGGATTCTCAGAAAAGGTGCTGTGTGTATGTGTACACAGTCTTTAATATTTAAAAATCAACTGGTTTAGACAATAGTGACAATTATTCAAAACCATTAAAGGTATTTCAGTGCTCTGTTCTCATCTACTTCTGCTGTTACAGACCACAACTATTGTTTTAAACCCTCCGTTCAGTTGTGTTGCTATTATTTATATTTGATTTATGTTTCTGTTATCTTTGTTATTTTTAGCTGATGGAATTTACTTTATTTCTTCACCTCAATATCTTAAGGGCAACAGAAGCAATACAAAATGGAACGAGCAGCCTCACTGTTAAAAATGTGGTCTTCCTTTTGTAAGCTTGAAATTTTATTTTCTTTCCAAACCTATAATTTCATGCTGACTATTACTGATTTTAATGTATCAAAATCAGTACATCTACACTCATAGTTGATGTTCTGTCTCAAAGTCTAAGGTATCCTATTCAAACAATTTGTACAAGTGCACAAAATGGTTTGGAATTAGTTCTATCAATTAATTTCTCAGACAAAAATGGCAGTTTTTAATCTGGGAAAGCCACAGTATAGAGTGCTATATGGCAGCTGGAAAGTCAGATTTCATACCTTTTAGAAATCAATAGAAAGACTTCCTCAGATCTCAGGAAGCAATCAAGCAGACCCTAAGAAAAATTGCCTTTTCATAGCATTGTAGTATATAACTCTTCTTTGTTAGCCAGGATGGAGACCAAATCATAATTTTGTGGTAATTCTCCTCTTCTCACATCTGCACCTCAAGCTCACACATAAGCTTTTAAAGTGAAGTATTTTCATAGCTCTTTCAGGAAGTATGTCATGTGATGGGAAGGTCACACACTACTTTTCCACACATGTTCAAGTTAGAGGATTTTTTAAAATTTCCAAAGACTGCTAGAGAAGTGCTTGAATCTGGCACCTTCCCTTAGCCAGGAGAGACACTCCTTTCTTGCAGGACCACTTAAGTTGCGAAAAGGTTCCCTGAAATAAATACTTTATTATTACAAAAGGCAGTTATTTCTGTAATGGCAATTGCACACTGGGGGTCAGCTGTTGCAAGGCTTGGATCTTATCTGGCCCTTTCTTATCAAAGAAAGAAATGTCTTTGCTTCTTCTGTGGAGTAAACAGGCAGAAATTTTGTTTGTCAGTTCAGTAGAGCCTTTTCTGGGGTTGAACTTTCCAGGGAAAATGAAAGTGAAAGAGGCAACAAACTCATTAATGCTCTTCAGTAAATAGCAGTAGCTGATAACCTGCATCTCAAGTATCTAAATCTCTCTAAATCTGCAAATTAGTGTTTAGACTCTAGTATCTTACAGCTAAACACTGAGCATTAATTTTAGATGCAGGATCAAAATAAACACACACAAATTCTCTCAGGCAAGGATGACCAGGAATCACATACAGACTTGTTACCTTGCAGTTCTATGCGAGACTCTCCAGATCTTCTCTTTCTTATCATTTACACATTTCAGCTTACCGAAATAGGTATTCAGCATCCTGGTATTATTTCAGTTTCAGCTCCAGCAGAAGTAGAAAAGCATATTTACTCAGTTGGACAAAAGCCAAGAATCAGATACCATCACCCAAGATGTAAAAAGCCACCAATTTACAGAAAAGCTGAAGCTTTGCAGACTTTTCAACAGCCCAAAAAGCACAGGACACCAGCAGCACTGGAAAACAAACCAATCTGTGGCTCCTGATGGTCAAATTGCTGTGCTAGAATCGTGTCATAACTGAAACAACTACATTCAAATATAGATTATTTTTCCAGAGGAGCCCCATACACCTGCTATCAGAGTTATCTGTTACAAAGCATGTAGGAAGAAATAAATGGTATCTTGTATGAATTCTCATGATTAAGCGCTGCTCAGAGATGAGACATCAGTCATGGACTTCATATATTTTAATTAATTAGTATCTTATATACTTATTTTAAAACACAATACTGGAAATATACAATGCCAGCAAAAACGTAGAGTCTTTCTAAGGCAATGCTAGCAAAACACAGAGGAAGAAAAATCAAAAGCAACACTGAATTTTTATTCCCAGCTTCCTTTTCATGGTTTATTGTTGCAGCCTAAAGAGTGTCATCCTGCTGCAATCAGAGCCAAAGAACTGCAAAATCCTGCTGTGCCATTTCTAAGATGGATTTCAGCTCCACTCCCTCCGAAAAGGAAAGCCACAATTAAATCCATGCATGATACTAGTCAAATGTTATATATTTATTTGAATTTCAGTGATGGGAGCCCTGAAGTGATTTTTCTGTAGTCAGTTTCACTGGTCCTCATATGCTCTTGTAAGGTTGATGCAAATATGCTACAGTCTCTGCTATTTGAAAACTGTTTTGATCTGCCCCTGTTATGATAACTAAAGCGTCTCAGTGTAAGAATCCATCTCTTAATTCAAGTGCCATCATTACCAATCCATTAATGTCCTTCTTTCCATAGAACATTGACTAAAATAAAAATTCATAAAAATTAAAATTTTAAGCTCTCTAGCCCTTTCACTCACAAGCTAAGACATCAACTCTCAGCAATTACACAACATACAGGTCCCCTTCAAAAACACAATCTGGCCGCCATGAATAATTAACAGAAACATACTAGAGATACTTTAAAAGCTTATGGCCATCAAAAGAATATACTAGCTCCTTGCACTATTTCCAGTTTTAAATTAGGGAAACATTTACAAGAACCAGCAATCTCTTATACTCAAATTAACTTTTTAAAGCCTTTTTTTCCAGTCCCACACTCAAATAATTTGACTTCATAAGAAAAGTAACCTCTCTTCCTTGGTGCTTTCCTTTTTCTTTTTAGTCAACCTAAATATTTCCAGTTGCAAGAGAGCTAAAATCATATTAATCACTTTCTATGATTAGAGCTTTTGGAAGTTCTTGAAAGCAAAGAGACAAAGCAAAAAAAGCAATCAGCTTTATGTTCAAAGTATTCGTTATGAAAAACATAAATAGAGAATATCATAAATATCACAGAATTCAAGACGACTATGTAGAAAGGCACAAAATTATCATTCAAAAGTCTTCTATCAACCAACCACCTTTCATGCACATGCTGTAATCAACCAAATACTGAAACAGCTGAATAGCATTGTTACTAGAGTCATAAATAAGCAAGCTACCTATATTAATTCCTGTTTGAAACCTTTGCTTCAATTAAATTTATCACAAACATGATGTAGCAATCACAAGCGCTTCCCTAGGCAAATAGCCTTGAAGCAGAAGTTACCAATCCCCCTCTGAATGCAGTGTGAAAAGATCTTTGCCACCTGAATGCTTTTCCATTAGAATGTGCTAGGTCTTCAAGGTTGGATAACCACAGAAATAGCTTGCAATATGCAAGTATACATCTTCCTCGTCTATCTGTGCAACAGGATGTCACACATGGTCATTTGTATTCCATATTCTGGCCTGAACCGTATCTGGTAGGGGGATAGGGTCTTGAGTAGTAGCAGTTACAATTCTTCTTCACTGGCTTGAAAACCATCTTGCTTAAGAAAGAAAAGGTGGAACTCAGATGGTAAGTAACTAAGCCTATGCATCTGATGGATAGCTTCCTGCATACTGAACACTTGGAACAAATATCTTTTTCTATCTACTGAAGTAGTATTAGTTTTCTTTGTGTGTCACAAAGTCCATGGTGGCTAGGCTGCAGATTCTAAGACCTGATTTCAATGTTGTTAGGTAAACAAACATGAGAAAAAGGAGAAATGCTTCTGTATGTCCTTTCTTTTCAAAGAATACTACTCTTCTCAAGTTTGGATCACGGTTCCCAGGCAACACAAAGGCAATCAAGAGTAAAGCAACAGCTCACAGAGTTCAAGAGTTCCGACACCTGGAGTTGAACTGGTCCAATCATGGCTGTAGAACTGGAAAAGCAATTACCTGGACTGATGATTACCGCTGTCTTTCATAGACGTATTAGGCATTCACATTACTTATTTTTTGCCTCTATCCCTTTTCATTCTGGAAGAAAGGTGGTTTTGAGGGTGGTGGGGAGAGAGACAGACAAGGCTCCATGCTCAAATAAACTCAGAATGATTTACAGAATTTACCTAGTTTTTTGGCTCATCAGGTACTACGGTTCTCTTACATGCCACTCTCAGATTTAGTCAAATCTGCAAGCATGGCATGGAGGGCTCTCAGAAGTAGGCAGACTGCTCTACCATTGCTTAGATCTCTGCTCAGTGGAGAAAGGGATCTGCGCATAACAGGAGAGAATTTATGCCTTTAGTGTATTCACTCAATCTAAACATCAAGTCCACAGCACTTAACATAATGAGATATTGGTCAAAGATTGGGACTTCTAGGCCTTCAAGCGCTTCTGGAGAACGTAAGAACCAACACAGAGACAAAATAAATGATAGTCTACAGTTAGGGTTTGAAAAAGATTCTTAACTCTTAGGTGTTACGATGAGAACTCTGTGAGGACAAATTATACGAGAAGTACATTCTTCAGCTGAGGTATTGGATCCATCCTGCTTTCAGAGATAAGATTCAAGAACATATAAACCCTAGGTCTGAACCTGGGTGATAACTCTTCTTGTCATAAGTAATGCATATATCATTACTGGCCTTCTGCCCAGCTCTGGGTTTACCATTCTGTGGTGTGAAATATTTTGATTTTTCTCCAAGTCATCCAAAATCAAGACCTAGATTCAGTGTCTGCATTCTACAGATACATTCTACATTTTTATTCTAAATCAATGTTGGTATCAAATCTTACAGAGTATATAAAATGTATGTTAAATATATGAACAGCTCAATGGATTAAATAAAGGAATAGTGCTTTTAGCTCAGAGAATCTCAGATCTGGTTCATATCAGTCTGCCTATTCTGAAATAAGACAGTGCGTACCATCAAATTTTCAGCACTTAGATACACATATTTGAAAAACTACCATTGCTGCTCTTTTGAATAACTATGCAGGTAGTTTTAGCAAATACTAAAAAGATTGAAATGTCGGAGAAATTTGAATTTCTACACTACATAGTCCCATTGTAACAACTGCACCTCTTATCACAGTGAACAGTCATGAAACTTCACACTGATATTGCACATACAGAAGGATAATTCTGTCTAAAAGTTTCCCATCTGACTCTTATTATCTAGTGAATGCACTTAAAGGAGAAGTGAGACTTCTCATTACCAGTATAGCAGACTTCAGTTGTGAGGCTTCCTCCAGCCCCAAGCACCCATCTTAGTCTGCATTGCTTCCTGCCATCCACTGTGTGTCTGACAGAGAAAATAAGATGACAGATTTCTCAAAGTAAATCTGTAAAAATATATATATATACATGAAATACATATATATACATTAGTGACATGTAATCCAAACTGTACAATGTTGGTAGCTATCCTTTATGTTTTTCAGCTACATATACTGCACTTTAAAATATATTTTTAACAGATTACACATTACACAAGGTTGAGGTATCACACTAGGAAACCTTTTAAAATAGTATTTTTTTAATTAGCTTCTTTCACTTTTAGGTGAAAAACTGGTAGTGGCCTAACTTTAACTGAAATAAGCAACCACTATTTGAAGAAAAAAAATACTAGATGATTCTTCTACAAATTTATCTGATTTAGAGATAGGTTTTCACATTTGCACAGT